AGGTCATCTCACAAGAGCTGCACAGGCTGACAGACTCCTCTGTGTCCGGCCCCCTGGAGTCTCATAGTCGCCTCCTGTCTTCTGGAGACTATGGAGACAGCCTTATCACCTGCCTGGCTTGTTAGCTCCCCTCCCCCCTCCCCAGCTCCCCATAGGACAGTTGTGTTTAGCCAAGAGTGAAAGGAATCCTCTCAAGGAGCAGGACGGAGGCAAGTCTCAGCCCAGCAGCTTTGCAGTGCTCTCCCTGCCACTGTGCGGGAGAGAGAGAGACAGATCTGGGGTTGAATCTGGACATCGCCAGCTACTGGCTCTATCTCTGCACTCCTCTGGCTTATGTCTTTATCTGTCAAGTGATCAAAATATTTGCCTTGCAGGAGGGGGAAAGGAATTAAATTTTATATTAAGGTGATAAATTATATAGAAAGGGATTAAGGACTAAGATGCATGTAGTCTCTTTATAATGGTATTCAGGGAAGCCATGAAGAGTTACTTAGCCCTTGAGGATCATGACCCAGACAGGGCTGGCTTTGGATTTGTCTTGCCATTTGAGTGACAGGAGGTGGGGCAGTGGGGATTAAAGAGGAATTGCGGGGGAGGGGGTTTGTGCAGGGATCAACTTGGAAAGTATATTGTGGCTCATTGGCATTTAGGTGGGGCTTTGTATCTGGTGATGTCCTTGCGTAGTATCAGTATTTTATTTTGAGTCCGTGATAGGAGCCCTGCTGAAGCCAGGAAGCTAAAACTTGTCTCTTTGCGTTTTTTCTCATGAGCTGCAGCAGCACACTTCATATTCCAGACAAGCTGCATAATTCGTGCAGAAGGACAAGGGAGTCGCTGGGTTTGGGAGAGCTGGGGAGCTAGGGTAGGCTCACTGGCGTGTACTGGGATGTAGGAAGCCTGTTGTTAAATGTGCGTAAACTATGGGGTGAAGCATCTATATTCGAGAGACGCAGCAGGAAGCTCAATTCTTCACCCAGTTTCGAAATATCCCGGTGGTGTGTATATGTGTGTACATGCTTGTTGACCCATATTATTCTGATTTTTCTGAGATGCTAATGATGCAGGGTAATATATATCTTATCTAAGAAAATATATATCTTATCCAGGCTAGGGGAACAGGCTCTAGTTTCATAAGCCTCGCCCTAAGCGTGCCACATCCTTGCTGTTGGGTTTCTGGTTGTCTGAGAGAAGTCTTACTAAGTTAGTAAAGATGAAGGTTTTACTCTGCTAATCTCGAACACAGATGCAGAACTTAACAGGCGGGAAGTGGTGGCTGCTCAGACTGAATGGTGGGGATTGCTCTAGAAAGTCAGAAGCAGGCAGCTTGCCCACTGTCTTTGAATCCAGGGAGATCCCTTGACCTGGCTGGCCTCAGTTTCCCACTGGCAACCTGTAGATGCTGCTGTGTCATTTTATTCTCTGGATCATGGAGTAGCTATTGGGGAAGGACTATGGGGCCCCTATTCCCGAAGGAGTCAGGCAGCAAGCAGTACCTTTAGGTATATGTTCAAAACCCGTACTGAGCCCACTAAGGTGTAATAATAATAAAGAATGTTTCTCTAACACATGGAAGAAATACCTTCCATTTTCTTTTTGTCCCCAGTTCCCACCCTACAGTCTCCTTTGAGAAAGGCTAAAAATAACATCTCCCAAGCTGGGGACTAGAGGAGTTGGGAAAGCATGTGGTGCCTAGATCTAAATCTCTCCAGGCTCTCTTTGAGGGGCATCTCCCCAGGATGGTGGAGTAGCATACACTGCCTGGTTTACTGTGCCCTCAACCCAGAGTTCCCATGGCTGTCATCCTGGACTGAGAGAGCCTCCTGGGTCTCCTGGTGGTGGCTTCCTCCCATAAATCAGTGACAGACAGCTGCAACCACTTGCATCCTGGGATAGAAAAATAGACCCAGTTGCTAGACAGCAACTCAGGCTCCACAAACATGGCGGGATCAGAGGGCAGGGGGCGCCGAGCCCAGGCACCAGCCAAGCAGGCCCAACAGCCGGGTAGATCCATTTGCTTATTTTTATAAGGTTATTGCTGTCTGTACCTCAAGAAGGAGGTGACCCCCGCCCCCTGCTGTGCTGATGTGGAGGCCACTTACTGCTCGCCACCGGAAAGGCCTGCCGACTGCTGGCTGATTTATTTATTTTAGTTGCACACCGGCTGTCTGCTGGGTCTAAGTTTGGAAGCCAACAGGAAGTCATTCAGTCTCATACCAAGCGTTCAATACGTGTGTTCTCTTTGGCACAACAATATTAGGTTGAGAAAGAAAGGGAAGCCTTCCACGGACTTATTCCCAACCCCTTCCCACCCTCAACACCAACCCCCTTCCCCACAAAATAGATCCTGTAACGCCTTCCAGATCAGGCTGTGAGGTTGACTTCTTCCTTTGATTTGAGTGGCTTTCTTCCAAAGTGAGATTTCCAACATTTTCCTGTGAAAATGTAATAACAGTGTTGAGGTGGAAACACACACACACACCCCACCCCCACACACACAAAATTTGCAGTGAACTCCTGCAAGTCCTCTGCCAAGATTCTACCATTAACACATTTTTATAATTGGTTTCTAATGTATCTCCTCATTTTACTTTTGACATACTTCAAAGTCAGGCATCGGAGTGCTCCCCCTTAGTCCGGAGGCTGTCAGTCACTAGGCTTAAGCATTTGTTTGCACTGCTTTGTTTCAGGGTGGAAACTCAGGCTTCCCGGTGTGTGCCGCTGGCATTTGCGGGTGATGTCTCCTAAAGGAGCCCCAGAGAACTGCACGTGACTGGGTGTAGAGCCCGTCTGCTAAGCACTTTTCTATCGCTGGGTCTCCAGCTCACGCTTTCTCAGGCGGGTGTAGGATGAGATCTTGGGACAAAAAGGGAAAATAGTTTGTTCATAAAGGACAAATGTATGCTCTGTTGCATTCCAAACCCTATGAAGATATAATAACGTTTCCCAATGTCCCCACCTAGTCAACCTCCCTCTTTAATCTGTCACAAGCAGCTATTGTCCTGACTGTTTCCATTACAGGTAATGTTTGCTTATTCTACTAGATGCATTTAACCATTATGCACTCTTTGAGCAGGGCCCGTTTCAGTCAGCAGAATATGTTTTGTTGTTTTCATTGTTGGCTTTTTAATTTTTAGAAATTAAAATATAGATATATTATTTTTCTTCCCTCCCCTTCCTCCCTCCACCCCTTCCCATGTACCCCCCATTTTTTCTCTCTCTCAAATCATTGCCTCCATTTCTTTAGTTGTTGTTGCTATGTATGTGTGATATATTCATATACATGTATATATACATACATATGGCTTGATCAGTATGTATAAAGTTGCGTGTATTTATATGATTTCGGGGCTGACCATTTGGTATTAGATGGTCAATTGTTGTGCTCTTCCCTGGGGAAGACTATTTCTTCTGCTCTCAGCGTTCCTTAGTTGCCTACAGTTCCTTGTTTAGGGTGGGGACCCCATGAGATTTCTCCCTTCCCTGTTAGTGTGTCTATTGGTGTCACCCTTGTTCAGGTCTTGCTTAGGTAGCCATATTAATGAGACTTCATGGGTATAACCTCCCTGGCATTTCTAGGAGATGAATCTTCCATCAGACTTCTTGGTCCTCTGACTCTTAAAATCTCTTTGGTTACTCTTAATATGTTCTCCGAGCCTTAGGTGCAGAAGTTGTTGATGTATACACTAGGACCAGACACCATGTGATCACCTGTTCTCTGCCCTTTGATCCGTTGTGGCCCATGGGATAAGCTAAAATTGTTAAAGCATTTGTATTGTATGTATCAAAAAACACCTAGAGTTGGAATTGCTAACTTTATAGAATATAATATATATATTTGGCCTTGAGCTCACAGAAGTCCACCTGCCTCTGACTCCAGAGTACTGACAATTATTCTTGTTCAAATCATGTTATTCATATATGCTTTCATTTATAGTTTCTAGAATTGATACTATTATCTAGCATCTATATTTGGGTTTTAGAGACAGGATTTCTTTGTGTAGCCTTGGTTGTTCCAGAACTTACTTTGTAGACCAGGCTGGCCTCAAACTCACAAAGATCCTACTGCTGCTGCCTCCTGAGTGCTGGGATTAAAGGCGTGAGCCACCACTGCCCCGGCCTAAAACCTAATCTTTTTTTTATATTTATTTATTATGTATACAATATTCTTTCTGTGTGTATTCCTGAAGGTCAGAAGAGGGTACCAGACCTCATTACAGATGGTTGTGAGCCACCATGTGGTTGCTGGGAATTGAACTCAGGACCTTTGGAAGATCAGGCAATGCTCTTAACCACTGAGTCATCTCTCCTGCCCCCAAGACCTAATCTTATAAGAAGTACTAACTCCTTTTTCCCATAAGGGATTTAGTCCAGCACTTTACACTTTACCAATAAGTGAGTGGCGATTCTGGTTGTTACCCACTCTTATCAACATTTGATATTATCATTTAAAAAATTTCAGTCATCCAAGTAAATGAGTAAAGGTAACCTATTATAGCTTTGTTTTCTTTTGTTTTTTGTTTCAGTTTTTTTCGAGACAGGGTTTCTCTGTATAGCCCTGGCTGTCCTGGAACTCACTCTGTAGACCAGGCTGGTGTTGAACTCACTAAAATCCGCCTGCCTCTGCCTCTTGAGTGCTGGGATTGAAGATGTGTGCACCACCATTGCCTGGCCCCATTATGGCTTTAGTAACACTGTTTTTGTTGGGTTTTGAAACAAGGACTCAGCACATATCTCAGACTGGCTTGATGTCAGAAATCTTCCTGCTCCAGCCTGGTCAGTGTGGGATTACAGGCGTGAACCACCATGTCTTTTCCAACAATTTATTGTTTGAGGTAGGTATCTCATGACATGGTTCTGAATAGCCTGGGACTCAGCTCTCGCTGTCCCTAAAACTGAGGCGATACTGCTGTCTCCGCCTCCCAAGTGTTGGGATCGCAGGCATGAGTCACCACACCCGACTTGAAATTGCCCCCTGCTTCAGCCCAGAGCTATATCCACCCCCAGAGCTGGAACACAGTCTCCCACTACCACACATTATACAGTTGAGTGTCCCGAAGTTTGGGGAATTGCTGAAGTCAGTATGCCGTAGGTGCAACGGATCACGCTTCTCCCAGAAAGCCACCTTCTTGGCCATTCTATGTCCTGTCAGGTAAGTATTGCCATTTTAATTTAGAAAATCACTTCTCAGTTTTTCTCCTTTTGCTATAATGCTAAGCCCTGGTTCAATCAGTGTCCCTAACTTGGTCTCCATGTTTAATTTGAACTTTCTGTAAATTGCTGGATACTTGTCTCGAGTGATCTGGAGGCGGGGATCAATGTGTAATTTTTGAAATCATTATGGTCACTAGTAATAGAAGACTTTCTATTCTAGCCCTTTTGGAGGACGGTGTATGTTAGGAATTGGGGGAGTCTATTATCGGTGATTTGATGAGAATAGAATCGTGGGGTGTAGCGTGTGAAGGATTGAAGTCAGCAAGCCTTTTGAGTTTCTAGTTTCATTGCATACTTGATGGCAGCTCTCAGAATGTTTTAAACCCTTGAAGATTTCTTTCTATCCACAAACATTGTATTTTGAGACCTCAGTTCTACTTCAGACCTCCTTGGCTTCCTTGGTAATTTTTTCTGATGTCTTTGTCTTAACTCTGCCTTCTGCTGCTTGGGCAACCCATATACATAAAGCTTTTTAAACAAACAAACAATTTCTTGATCATTTCTGCTTCAAGTCTAGTTTCTCACATGTACACAAGTACATCTTGTACACAATGTCAGCCTTGACATTGCTTCTGAGAGGACAGAGAGACATCTAACCAGAGTTGTTCTCCAAAAGCACTAGTATGGTGTTAATCTGATTTCTGTCACTGTGACAAAATACGGGAAACAATCAGCTTGAAGTAGCAAAGATCCAGTTTCAGAGATTTGGACCGCAGTCCCTATTGCCTTGGGTCAGGGAAAGCACAATACATCATGGGCCAGGGAAAACACAATGCATCATGGGCCAGGGAAAGCACAATGCATCATGGGCCAGGGAAAGCACAATGCATCATGGGCTAGTGAAAACGCAATGCATCATGGGCCAGTGAAAGCAAAATTCATCATTGTAGGAGGTTACACTGGGAGGGAGGTGCTCCCCTTATGGAGGCCTGGAAGAAGGCAGAGAGAAAGAGAAGAAATGGAGGTTATAATACCTGTTGTGAAATATTATTTTAAAATGTGTTACATTTGTTTATGCTGTGGAACATTTGCTTAATGATGCAAAGATATGTTGTGTTCTTTTATCTTGCATTTGCTTAACTTTGTGAAGCTGTGTTACTTTGCCAGTCTAAAACACCTGATTGGTCTAAGAAAGAACTGAATGGCCCATAGCAAGGCAGGAGAAAGGATAGGCAGGGCTGGCAGGCAGAGAGACTTAATAGGAGGTGAAATCTGGGGAGAAGAGATCAAGGAACGAGAAAGACGAGGAGAGGAGGACTCCAGGGTCCACCCAGCCACATAGCAAGCCACGGAGTAAGAAATAAAAAAAAAATACAGCAACAGGGAAGGGAAAAATCCCAGAGGCGAAAGGTAGACAGAATAACTTAAGAAAAGCTGGCAAGAAAAAAAAGTAAAGCTAATTTATAAGAATAGAACTCTGTGTGCATTTATCTGGTGGTTAGGTGACGGCCCTCCTAGCCTTTCCCCAGTGTTCTCACTTCATCCTGCTGCCTCCACTTAATGTCCTGGCTGGACCATGCCTTTAGTACTGGGTAAGACGCCTCAGATCCAAGTTGCAGTAGTTAAAACTAGTAATTTCTGTCACCTAGAATGAGAGTCCCATATTGGAAAACAAGTTCCGTGTGTGTACACAGATGCATATGCCTGTGCATGTATGTATGTAGGAGGACAAAGGAGGATGCTGGGCACCCAGCTCTACCACTAGTCCACCTTACTCACTTGAGCTAGGGTTTCTCACTGAACTGGAGCTAGGCTGGCACGGAGCAAGCTGTAGTGATTGCTCTGTCTCTGCCACTCACAGTGCTAGAGTGACAGACACATGTGGTCCAGCTGTCACATTCAGGTCATCATGCTTGTGTAACAGGCATTCTTACCCACTCGCTGGTCATCTCACCAACCACATATTTCTTTTTAATGCTTGCTCAGAGTCTAATTCTGTGTTAAGCACATTATAAGCATAAAACCTCATTCCATTCCCATGCCTTATTTCTGTAGTAAGCCTTTCTTAGAAGTATGCTTCTTTCTAAACAAGGAACCTGCAGTTTAGAGAGGCTGGGCAAGCACAGATCGTCATTTAGCTGTTGAGTTATAGGATCATAGAATCCATACCCATGCAGTGCGATCAGAGTGAAAGACTTTAAGTTTTCTTTTATTCCCATGTAGAATGACACTGCCCCGTTTCCTGGCTTCAGTCGTGACACTTCTTATCTCCTTCTTACCTCACTCCATGCTTCAGCCACACAGACAGATTTACTATGACCAGACGCACGCCAGACTTCCTCATAGCTTCTCGACTTGTCAAAGGCTGCTGCGTCTGTCTGACCTGGAGGATTTGATCCACTCCTCACCTTTCCCATCAGTCGAGAGCATCCTCCAGAATGAGGTCAAGCATTGCTGCTCCCATGAAAGCTTCGAAGTCAAGAGCTTTTCCTTTGCTCCTCCCGTGTTTCTCTGCAGCATGAGTGTGTTGGTATTGCTTTGGTATTTCTGTTTGTGTCTTGTGTGAGGTGCAGCCTTGTCTGTATTCTAGAAGTTAGCTGGTAGGACTTCCTGAAAAATAGACCTTGAGAGTGGGACCTAGGATGAAGAGCAGGACTCTGAAGTAGGCAGAAGGGAAGTTGAGTAGAACAGTTATGTCAGATATCTTTATGGAGGTGAAACTGTCCTGTGGCAACTCCTCATTGAGGTGAGAGGTCAACTTCTGTACTCTAAGGACTACTAGTCATTAGATGTAGGCTGTTCCTGGGAGAGGACATAGTTGGATGCATCATAAGAACAGCTTGGTAGAAGTAAGCTTTCAGCCTATGATACCCAAAGACTGTTGGACATCTCAGCTCTGCATAGTGTACTTCTTTATAAGAGTTGCCATGGTCATATGGTCATGGTGTCTCTTCACAGCTATAGAAATCCTAACTAAGACAGAAGTTGGTACCAGAGACAGGGGCATTACTATGATAGGCCTGGCCATGTGTTTGTTTGGAGGAATTCTGACTTTGGTAGTTTGGGTTAGGAAGGTAGTGGGATGGTTTAAGCACTGCTTAAAGGGCCTTACCAGTAGGAGCATGGAAGACAGTGGTGCTAAGGGTTATTTGAACTACAGGTGGCTCACTCAAAAGGTGTCAGATGAGAAAAATTTTAGTATGTTGGATAGAGATCATCCTTGTGATATTTTGGTGAAGAAAGTATCTGCCTTTTGCCCTTGTCTGAAGGGGGTTTAGCTCAGTGATAGAGCACTTGCCTAGCATCCACAAGGCCTGGGGTTCAGGTCCTCAGCTTTGGGGGTAGAGGTGGGGGTATATCAAATCCCTGCTTACAGTGTTAGTAGTCATGGCAGACTTCTCAGCAGGGGTATGTGCCGCTGGGACTCCTTACATATTGGTAGACCAGAAGCAGGAGTTTGGGTTGGACATATAGCTATGTAATCACTCTCAAACCCCACACTTATGGCCCTACATTTTCTGGCTATGTTCCTCATCCAAAAGATTCTATAATCGTCACAAATAGAACTACTAGCTGGGAACCAAGTTGTTCAAAAACATGCCCTTGGTGGTGGTGGTGCTGGTAGTGATATTTCACATTCCTACCAGAACAGCCATCATATCTGCTACAAAGGAGAGTACACGTAGAAAAGAAATATAACATATTGGTGGTTGAAGATCTCTTAATACAGATGAGATGTCATTTAGGCAGAGGTTAGAAAGAATGAACTATGTAGAAAATGAACTATGTAGATATTGAAGAGAAAGCATTTTGGATAAAGTGATATAGGCTGATTTATAGTTTAGTTTAGATCGTGGATTAGTCTATGTCTATGTTAGAGTTTCTATTGCTGTGATGAAACACCATGACCAAAAAGCAAGTTTAGGATGAAAGGGTTTGTTCAGCTCATACTTCCGCATTGCTGGTCATCACCAAAGGAAGTCAGGACAGGAAGTCAAGCAGGACAGGAACCTGGAGGCAGGAGCTGATGCAGAGGTCATGGAGGGGTGCTGCTTACTGGTTTGCTTCCTATGGCTTGCTCAGTCTGCTTTCTTATGGAACCCAGAACCGCCAGCCCAGGGATGGCACCACCCACAATAGGCTGGGCCTCCATCACTCAGTAATTAAGAAAATGCCTTACGTTTGGATCTTATGGAGGCATTTTCTCCATCAAGGCTCCTTCCTCTTGGATGACTCTAGCTTGTGTTAAGTTGACATAAAAGCAGTCAGCCAGTGCAGTCTTCAGGAGACAGATACAAGAGAAAATGGGTGAACAGTTAAGAGGCTACTGTGGAGGGAGGGCTGTAAGAATGCACTTGAGAGTTACTGCTGGCTCTGCTTCTAACCCAAATTCTCTGCTTGTTACGTATAGAGGGCTGGTGAGGGTAATGGTGAATGTATTGAGAAGCTGTCAGATTTCGAATCTGTCTAGATGGAAGGGTTAATGATGGAACTTGGCGATGAATTGATGTGATAGAAAGATGACTTGAAGGATTTTGGCTCTGGCAGTTGGGTGAATTGGAAAAGGTATTGATTGTGAAGCAGACAGTTGGAAGCAGTTGGTTCAGTGTTGATGTTCGAGGTGATGAGTGATGGTTAGGAATATGAGCTGGACATTAAGGGAAAACACCAGTGTCACAGAAGCAGACTTTTGAGCCTTAAGCACATGGATACCATTTTAAACTATGGTGACCACTGAAATCACCCACAGAGTAGATGGAGAAGCATCAATATGAAATCTGAGGTCTTTTGATGTTTAAAGGTCAGAAGAGACTGAGAAAGAATGATCACCAAGATCTTCAGGGAAATAATAATCAAGACAGTGTTTCAAGAAAGAAAGAAACAAAAAAATGACTTTATTTACTTCTTATGAGCTTGATCTTATAAAGACTTAGAAGTAAGCATTGGGTTTGACCAGTAGAGTCATTCGAGACCTTTTTATAAACAGTGTTAGAATGTGGGACTTG